AAAAAAAAAAAAAAAAAAAAAAAAAAAAAAAAAAAAAAAAAAAAAAAAAATCATTTCTCCCCTATTCGTTGTACCTTACTACCCCCTTCATTTATCGTTCCTTGCCTTGCCTCACTTTAATTCTTATGGCAGCCTCAGTTCCTGTGTCAAAGGTTGATCATCTATAGTCTCCTCCTGGCGCTCCTCTTTGAACCAATGGAAGATAAGTCTCTCTCCTTCCATGGTTGCAAACTTTGCCCTGGGCTAGTACCCTTTTCTGGAATTTGGTTAAGGTATTCTTTGCCCTTTCTGGGTTAAGAGCCACTTGCTTCTTTGTTCTTCTCCATAACGCCCAAATCTCTGTCTCCAACAGGCTATACATCATTGCCTTGGCTTCCATTCTAGTCATCGGAATCTTGCCCACCACCTGCTGACATCTTCGTTTCCAGATTGTCCATAAAAAGTGTACTGTCTCAGAAGCTGAAAGATAAATTTGTGTCCTGCCCACCATCCCTCAGGCACCTCACTTCCTGTCAATATTAGTTTCCTGTTTTGCACGAAGGGGACCTCCGTAGTGTGTATCCATAATGAACGAGCTAGGAAGCAGAGATGTTCTGCTTCCGGGCAATGGAGCAAGCAATGGACCAGAGTTTCCGGAACGCCTCCCTTAAACATAACACAGTCTTGATCTGCGTCGTCCCTATTGAGCCTGTTTCGCTTACCAAACAGCCAGACATTGACTGGCAGTGCTGCATGAAAAATGAGCCACTGCATGCTCCTGACCTTGGCCAGTGCTGCATGAAAAATGAGCCACTGCATGCTCCTGACCTTGGCCAATCTGATACCGTGCAAAGATGACCATGGTAACCTTTCTACTTGTTCCCTTGGTATATCCACTCTCTTCTCCCATCTTGTCGCCAAAATGTGATCCAAATGGCATGATCTCCCCCTCAGACGGTACCCCAATTTAGTGGTGTACTGAAGTATATTAATTTTCCTAGTTACTCTTGACAAGCTTCCCTTGATGTTCCATGCCCACTCCGCTGCTGGATAGATTTCCAGATCCCGAATGACTGTCAGTGGCTCAAATATCGTAAAATCATCAGTCTCCACCACTCTGACCTTACTTCAGGTGCTTTTCTTAAATGGCGATCGGAACCCGCGACTCCTTATCCAGAATACTGACCGCGACTCCTGGACGGGCTTCTGGCCTTTTTTATATAGCATTTAGTATGACGGGGGTTGGCCCCTGTTTTCAAGCCTCCAACGAGGGAACACGGGGGGGCTGCACTCTACGTGCAGGTGGGCGATACCGGCCAGGGGTCAGCCGGTAGCATCAGGACCGAGCTTCGTCTATAGGTCAGTCGCTGTGCCTCCCCTTCAGTCCCGTCCCCCTACAAACAGTAGCAGTCACTGCTCAATGCCACTCGGGGGGACCAATGGGCTCTCTCTAGGTGGCAGGCAAGAAGCTTGTGCAGGAAGGTACATGAGCCGAATGGGGATTGAACCCGAGACCACCTGCTGAATGCCACTTGCGTCCCTTACCGGCCTTTTTTTTTTTTTTTTTTTTAACCTCACGAGACTCCCATCCCACCACTCCTCTCGATATACATCTCCTGGCGCACCCCCACTCCATTTCTATCTTACCTCATGCGAGGAACATCACATTCTACTGGAGCAATGTTAGTGTTGCTGATAAGAGCAGACAACACTAACACCCACCACCCCGAAATGGGTCCACAGACATTGAGAGTAGGACACACCTCTTGATTCGACATTGGTTTCCCTACAAGGCAACCCTCCCCACCATAGGACTGCCACGGTATCACCATGCACCAGCTGATCGACTGGGAGCCCCTGATAAACACCCGAGATTCAGCTTCCTCAGGGGAGAGAAAAAAAAGAAGTTAAAAAATGAATAGCAAGCTACTGCGGCCTTGTCGTACCACCTCACGCCTGGCCAGAGGTACAGTCAGATGGATTTTGTACAGAGCTGCGTGAGAATGCCTTGAAAAGAACGGGGCTGACAAAGCACATAGGGCGTCGCTCCACTACAGTTACTCTCGACATGCACAAAAGACAAAAATCATGGTCATGTATCTTTCCATGTTCTAGGGGAAGATTCACTCTCTTTTTGCACGAGGCCCATAGATTGTTTCCGGCCTCTCACACAGAGTCACATGAGAAACAAACGACTTAAAAAAAAAAAAAAACAAAAAAAAAAACAAAAAAAAACAAAAAACAAACAAACAAACAAACAAACAGAGTTTAACATACGACATTCTTCTTCCAAGGAAAAAAAAAAAAAAAAAAGGCAAAATGGAATTTCAAGCTCTGAACTACTTGCTACGCATCTACCCATGTTGTACCAGACTATTCATTCTCATTTTGCACATTCGGTGAGTAGTGGAGTGAGGCCCTAGATCTCAACAGCTCTTTTTTTTTTTTTTTTTTTTTTAGTAAGCCCTGCCAACAAGGACCGGCAGGGCGGTCCCTTCTCATTATTCATTACTTTGTAGCAGTAAACAGATGAATTCTCCCGATATTTATGGGTGGATGCAGTTCAAAGTTCAAACTTCAAAAAAAAAAAAAAGAAAGCAGAAACACCCCAGACCCAAGTCGTCAGCCCCTATTTTGAAACGGGAAAAAATGCCACCCCTCAAACGTGAAACTGGGGATGGCGCCCTATGCTAAATTTTGAACGATCTGGACAAGCTAAGCTGCCCTAGGACCGGTCTTAGGGACAACTGCGGCGGGACCCTTTTTTTTGCTTTCGGAAACCCCAAACGGACCAGTGCTGTACTGCACGACCTTACCCAAAATGGAAAGCACACGAAACGACGAAAATGCAAGCCACACAAGCGCAGCCTCGTGGCTGCGAACAAAGAAAGGTGTGATATTTTCTCAAAACCAAACAACGAAGGCAGACTGTAAGGTTAAGCCCATTTTTTCCCCCTCAAGAGTCAAAACCAAGCAAAGGCTCCACCAAACATAGGTAGGTGCGCCACAGCCAGAAATCAGTAAATTACACTCCACACTTCGGACACAGAACACCGCTGGGAAATTCTTCACAGCTTCTTCTTCTTCTTCTTCTTCTTCTTCTTCTTCTTCTTCTTCTTCTTTTTTGACAACCTCTCAATAAACCCACATACAAGGAAATACCGACCACTTTTGGGAAAAAAAAGGGGAAAAAAAAACCACCAGAGCCATCACTTGAAAGGAAGTAGCAGAAAGGTGGGGGGCAAGGGACGGGAAAAAAAAAACAAAACAAACAAACAAACAAACAAACAAACAAACAGTTCTCACACTCAGAAGCCTTGAAGGAAAAATCACCTCCATTTCAAAGCAAACGAGGGAAGCAGTTTGTCCTCGGGGCACTTGGGCCCGCTTGGGAACTGGGTCTTCGAGGATGCTGTTGCGGGAGACCCACTATTCCCTTTACCCTTTAATAAGATAGAGGTACCAACTTAAAGTAAGTAGTGGAAAGGGGAGGGGGGG